TATATATATATAATTATTGGCATTAATATTGGCATATTAAATTATTTTTTAATTAAATGTTTATTTTTGTGTTTACGTGCATTTTGGCATCCATGAGAAAAAAAGTAAACTGAATAAAGTTAAACTTGCAAAAACAAAAAAACTAGTTACAATAACGGCATAACATTATTGGCTTACGAATATACTATAATACATTACAATAGTAATATATTGATATTCATAACTATATCTTTATGCTAACATCTGGGGGGAAAATAGAATTTTATATTTGATGTTTATGTTTGTATATTTTATTTATAAAATAAATACAATTATGATATACTTATTTTTGATACAATTATTTTAAGGACATACAGCGCTTCCGTCTTTAAACCAATACATGAGCAAACCATAGACAGCATGCGTGTCCGCGTCTCCTGGTCGGCCATTTTGACTGGAGAAATAATGTCAAGAGCTTTTTCTGCTCACAGTTTAAAGCTCTGAAGAGGCCAGTGCTGAAGCAGGGCTTCTGAAGGAGGAAGGATTTTGAGGGATCTATGGATGCAGGACGATGCATCGCCATCCAAATATCACATTTCCCCTCTGACAGCCTACAGAACGCAGGTCTGATCACAGATTGCCGTTTGTTTGATATCTCAAAGTATTACTGGTAAATTCACAGCAGATTATTTGTTCATAGTAATGTTATTTATCACTGTTTCAGTGCGTATATTTTCTGGTCGATCATCTCTTGTGAACACAGCAGATGCGTCTAATGACCTGCATATAGACTCGCGTGACAAATGAGCAATGATTAAATATACCATGATTATGTTAAACACAAATGCCTTTCACCTTGAACTATATGCTCATATAACGTTACAGTCTTCATATACGCTGAGATCAGATAAAAAAATTGTACTTCGTAATATTGCCTTGACGTGCTTTTTGGGCTCCAGAGTATGTTTACTTTTGTTTATGCAAATAAGCATGATGAGATTTGAAGGCTTTTGGCAGTGGAGGCATTTATTATGCTTTGCAACGTCCAGTAATCAGGCATGCAAATTCACAGCGCTCTGATTGGTGTTTCGAGTCTCGCTTCTGCGCTCTGATTGGTGGATCACGGACAGCGACACTGAGCGAGGCCGCTGTGTGTCTGTCTGACATTGATCTTGAACGTGGGGTTTGATTTTGCCTCGTTATTATAGAGACGTTTCGTGTGAACTTTAGTGAAAAATATCATGGGAATGAGAAGAATTGTGCAGTCGTCTGATGGTCATTGAATGCCTGTAGCTCTATCACACACGGAAGCGTGAAGTGTGTGTGTGTGTGTGTGTGTGTGTGTGTGTGTGTGGGTGTGAGAGAGATTTGATCACACACGTTG